TGATTGTAACGTATCTTCAAGATTGTGAAATGGTAAAATAAAGACTATATTAAAGTAATGTGAGGGTTGTAAAATAACGATTGTAAGACGGTTCCGATTGTAAAAGAACAGGTGTGTACTCTCGCTTGTTGCTGAAATAATCGGCCATCACCTGGGGAGAAAGGAGGATTGTAAAGTACTATTAAGATTGTGAAATTGATTGTAAAAATAATGATTGTAAAAAGCGTCAAGACTGTAAAGTAATGATTGTAGAGTAACGCCAGGACTGTAAAATAACGATTGTAAGACGGTTCCGATTGTAAAGGGACAGGTGTGTACTCTAGCTTGTTGCCAAAATAGTAGGCTACCACCTGGCGAGAGAGGAGGATTGTAAAGTACCGTCAGGATTGTGAAATTGTAAATTATTGATTGAGAAATAATGATTGTAAAGAAGCCTCAGGATTGTAAAAGAATGATTGTACAAATATAACAATGATTGTGAAGGGACTGGTGTGTACTCTCGCTTGTTGCCGAAATAATCGGCTACCACCTGGGGAGAGAGGATTGTAAAGTAGGATTGGGATTGTGAAAGAACGATTGTAAAAAATAATTGTTTAGTTTTAGTTTTAGTAAGAGTTTTACGACCCTTGCGACACAATAAGGTCATATAAGTGCCGAAGATAAGAGGTGTTACAAGAGAGTAACAAACACAAAAAAGGAGGAGGGGAGAGAAGGACAATAGATGTTTGATAGGAAAGAAGAAGCAAACCACACCAGAGCACCCGCCAACCACTCACTGACGGAGGATTGTAAAGTGCTGTCAGGATTGTGAAATAATGATTGTGAATGATGACAGTGATTGTAAAGGGATAGGCGTGTACTCGTTGTAAACGAAATAGTTTTTAGCTTTTTAGTTTAGTAGAGGTTTTTCGGCGCTCGCAACTGCATAAGGTCATATGAGCGCCAGAAGATTAGAGGTGTTACAAGAGAGTAACAAACATAAAAAGATGAAGGGGAGATAAGGACGATAGATGTTTGACAGGAAAGAAGAAGCAAACCCCACCAGAGCACCCGCCAACCACCCACGTTTTTAGCTTTATTTAGTAAGAGTTTTATGGCCTCTGCAACACATTAAGGTCACATAAGTGCCGAAGATTAAAGGTGTTACAAGAGAATAACAAACACATAGGAGACGGGAGAGATAAGGATGATAGATGTCAGACAGAGCACACGCCAACCACAAACATCAAAACATAAAAAAGGAATAACAAAAAAAACAAACAACCCAGCAACAACAAAAATGATAAAACAACAAACAATATAAAAGAAATGATAACAACAACGGCTGCAACAACAATAACCAATAAACAATAGAAAAAGAAGTTAAAAATAACACCAACAATAACAAAAACAACAATCCAACAAACACTCGAAAAAGAAATTTAAAATACAACACAAACTAAAGCACAACAAACAAACACACGAAAAATAAATTTAAAAA